TCATATGGAAGAATGCAAAATAAAGGAAGCCACATACAGTAAAGGTAATGAATCAAACCTTTTTCTCTTCTAGTTTGTTTGGTCCAAAAACTTGGAGTCGACGGGCTCCTTCCTCTGAAGTCAGTCCAGCCCTGGTACATTTCAGCTGCTCCAACACTTCCTCTACAGGTATCCGTTCCTGCAAACAATTAGCAACTTCTTAGTCGAATAAATATTCAGCCAAGCTTCATTCGAGAAGCCAATTTCATCTCCAGAATACTATTTCATAAGCCAATTTGATAATGATTCCCTTGTCAACCACGTTACTCAAAGATGCCAAGGGGCCGTAGCCTTGCCAACTCACTTGTTCCACATGGTTCGGTGCTGATTATTCACACTTCCACTCCGCCGGTATCTTTCCGGTCACATAATCATCAGCCAGCTTATTGTCAAATTTTCTACTACTTTTTTTTTTTAAAAAGAAATTTCTTAAAAGGCTTTTAAGACATACGAATTGCTCAATAACTTTTCGTTTTAACTCCATTCTCACAGCAACTAGACACATGCACACTTCCATACCTTGTTACATGTGCATGCAAATCAAGAAAAACAAATAATATTAAGGAGCTACAGCAAGAGAGAGGGAATACCAAATCTACTGATTGTGTCTTGATCTCCTCGAGGCTTATGGCTCTATCGCCGGCCATGGTTGAGGCTCAATGGAGACGGCGACGGTGAGGGAACTAGAGATTGCGCGGCGACTAGCAAGTCCTAATCAAATAACAAAAATGTACTCAATACGTGTCAATTATTATAGCCAAATAAATAAAATCACCTCTGTTTCCTCAAACACTACAAGAATATGTTTTATTTGTAAGAAACAAAGGGCAAAAACCAACATTTAGCCCTCACCTCAGAGTAGGTTTTAACCTCACTTTATAATATAACAGTTTTAACCTATGATTTTATACAGTTGGTAAGTTTTAACTCATCACCTTATAAAGTTGGTAAGTTTTAATCTTTTATCTTATATTATGATATTTTTAGCCCATCACCGATACAAATTAAAGAAAATCGCCCTCATCTAATATCAAGTTATAACATTCTGTTAGTTGACTGTTAATATCCGTTAACATTTTGTTATAAAAAATATAAAATTTAAATTCAATTGTATTTGTTAATTCCATTAACGAAATACTAACGAATACTAACAGTCAATTAACAAGACTAACAGTCAATTAATAGAACTAACAGTCAATTAACAAAACTAACAGTCAACTAACAGAACTAACAGTCAACTAACAGAATTAACAGTCAATTAACAAGACTAACAGTCAGTTAACAAGACTGACAATCAGTTAACAAAACTAATAGAATATTATAACTTGATGTTAAATAAGAATTATTTTCTTCAATTTGTACAGATAAAGGGTTAAAAGTGTCAAAATATAAGGTGATGGGCTAAAACCTACTAATTTTGTAAAATGAGAGGTTAAAATCTACCAATTTTATAAGATAAAGAGTTAAAAATGTAATAGTATAAGGTTATGGGCTAAAATTTATCAATTTTGTAAAGTAAGAGGCTACAAGTTGGTTTTAGCCGAAACAAAGGGAAGAAAACGAAGATGGATGACTTTTTAGTCAATTAAATATAATATTAAAAAAATGCAAATTGATTAATTGTAAACGTCCACGCTCCCACTTTTATTATTATTGCAGATTTTTTTTTGAGAAATAAAATTTTATTAATATAAGAAAATCATAAATGTTTTTTTTTTATCTTAGTTGCACAATTTGAGACAATCATTTTTTATCCATTATCCCACCCCATCTGCATGCTATATGAATCAAATTTAAAATTTTTTATTTTCAGCAAAATGAGATGATTACTGAATTATTTAGGTAATTGACAAAAATCATAAATGTTAAAGGACTAATTTAAATGTTACAGTATACAAAAAGTATTACATTTAGAAAATGTTTAAAAATATAAAATTAAATAATTTAATATCTTCTTAAATATTACAACTAAACCCAAACTCAAAATTAAGTAACTAATTTGTATTGCACAATAATCCATTTAAATAAAAGATAAATTGATTGAGATTAAAAAATTTAGTTAAGGATTTTATCATCAATCATGCCTTTAACACTTTAAATGGTTAACAAAAGTTAGTAAATGATTAGTTAAAAGTTACAAGGATGGATCCCAGCAATGTTTTGGGCACATTAATTAGGGGATTACTTGTAGAATCTTTTTTTGATATATCAATGTCATGCATTTTGCCAAGTTATGAATTCCACGAGTTTAATTTTTGATGGGTCATGCTTTT